CCTCCACTTTTTCCTGTGAAAACCTTTTTTTCTACAGCAGACGCTGTGCTCAGGAAGGGGAGCAAGGAGAGGGAATCTAAATCACCCCCCAAACTTGTCTGGTTGCTCCTAGTGATAGAGCCCGTTGCCATGGAGCTGCGATTCTGATTGGTTGACCTGGAAGCCAATGAGCAAATTGTTTGTGAGAGCATCATCATTTAACCTTGCAGGAGGTACTTATTCAGTGATATATGATGCTAATACTAAAGCCTTACGCAGAGGGGTGAAGTGAAACGCTCAGATGCTGGAAAAAGGCCGCTGCTTTCCCCCTTCCCTCTTACGGGCTGGTTTGTTGGTTTTAATTACCGGTTGTACCAGCAAACCTCCCTTGCCTGGGCCAGCTCTTCCTGCGCAGTTCTCCTCTCGGTGCTCATTGACTTTGTCCGTCGGAGCAATACGATGGGGACTGTCCTGCCTGCCAGTGAATCGCCAGCCTCAGGTTGTTTATTTCTGACCCCTCAGAGCACTTTAGCTCTGCTTAGCATGTGATTGGATATGTTTTGTTTCTAAGTATGCTTTCTTTACATTTTATAACCAGCCTGAGGATGGAGAAAACCGCTGTTGTTATGGCTATGTCAGGGTTTCTTCTAGGCGGCAAGGCTCTGCAGCCTTCTCTGTTGCATTAATGTTGATGACCTGGGCCGAGCCTAAGGCTTTCACTCTGCCCTGTTGAATGCCTTTTGGAGTGAGTCTCAGAAAGCAAAAAAAGAATTGGTTAATAACCAAGGGAAGGAGCTGAAGGGGAAATGAGTCAAGATTCTTCTTCTTTGAAGCAAATTCTTAATTCTGGTCAAAAAGGCTGTAAGCATGTAAACTTACCGCTGTGGTCGTGGCTTGGACAGACACTGAGAAAGTGGAGCCCACTCACACTTGTTTCCTTTCCCCCTGAAAACTGAGAGGTAGCTTAACTCTCTTGCGTGGTGCGACGAACTACCTCAGATACCTCTGTCCTACTGCAACATAGGAGCGTACATGTAGGCAGCTACAGCCAAGCAGCCATATGTCTCCTTTGCACCCTCATTTAGCTCATAGGAGCGTGTCGGTACTCTGAGAAACAAGGCCAGGAAGAGAGTGTATTTAGCAGTAGGCTTCCTGCCTTCCCCAGATTTGCTGCTGGATCCATCCTAACTGTAAATGCCAAAGTTTCCTGCTTTTATTCCCTGTCTAACCAGGACCAGCTGCTGCCTACGTTATTATGGCTTGGCAGCTGCAAATTGCAGGTAGCAGGAAGGCAGCAGAGGTGGAATTCCGTGTTCCCCTGCAGGGTGAAGAGTGGGATGTAAATCTGTCCTGGCTACCCCTTCACCTGGCCCTTGGCCAGCATGCACAGAGCGTTCATGCTGTCACTGCCTTGACTGGCCTTGTTACTTTGCCAACCTCCAGACCCAAACCAAAAAAAATCAATGGCAGCTCACCCACCTTTCTGTTGCTCCATTATTCTCTTTTCTGACACAGATTTAGTGTCTTCCCTAATGTTGCATCTACGTAATCTTTTCATCTCCCTACCAAGGCACAGCTCAGTCCCACCCACCCCACCAAGTCCTCTGAACTTCCACTTTTTCTGCAAGCCGGTGTCTGTCACAGCAGATCATGTCTGCCGCCCCCTCACTGCATCCCACGTCTGTCCTGGGGGAGCAGAGCTGATTCATTCATACAGAAAGGAAACCTCCTCTTGAAAGCATCACTATTGAGAAGCACTAGCAGTGCATGTATCTTCTTTGAATTTTATGTGCAGGGAAATATCCTGGAGGACTGCTGTCAGGGATGGAAGCTTTATCAGGAGGGAGCAGCCCACAAATGTCAATTCTGTGGCTCTGAGTAGTCCTCTGTGGAAGAGGAGAGGGAAAACCAATGATACTCCCCTTGTTGTGATGCTGAAGTTACAGTGCAGTATGATGAGAAAAGATCCTGTTACCCTTCTCAAATTTGACTGAGGTGCTTGGCTTGGGGGTAAAAACTTGTTATGGGGTGGCTGTTGCAAAGAAAATGAGCTGTAGAAAACCTACTCCTTTTATTTTAGTGCGGAAATTCTCCTTTTAGATAAGTGTCATGTGTGCAGTTCAGGTGGTTCCTCATGCCTCCCTTCCCCAAATCTGCTACAGATCCTCCCAGGCCTCCAGACCTCCCACCAAGGAGGCTGGCGTGCAAATCAAGCAAGTGTTCCCTTTTCCTTTCCTGACCTAGTTCCTGTTGGAGGCATGACAGCAGAGCACGACTCTGTCGCGTGGGGGCTCACCACCCCATGCAGCATGCTTGCTGTAAACCTGGGAGTTCGATCGCGGTTCCTATTTGCAACTCTGCTGGGTACCCAGCCTGCCAGGGTGAAGAACAGACCCTTGCAGCTGGAGGATGGATGCCTCTGTGATTCCCGAGGGAAGCTGCTTCCTGCAGGGGTGCTCCAGGAGACGCCTGCCTATGGGATCATCTGTGGCTCTGCACACTGTCCTGTGGGACTGCCAGGAAGGGGTAGGGAGCAGCAAGTGATCCATGCAAGGATCTGCACTGATTAGCATTCAGAATAGCAGATTGAGGTGCTCTTGCCCTCTCCCCCACCTTTTATTTGAGGTGGATGCTTGGAAATCATTAGTAGTCAGAAGGGTGTTTGCAGTACCATCTTGCAAGGCTAACATCACAGCAGAGTGCTCTCTGGTTCCTTTTCATTAACAAGTGGCTTTTTTCTGCCAGGAACCACCAGTCTGGTTGTGGGACAACCTGCTTGGTACAGTGTGATGATGCTGGGCTGAAGGAGCCTGGCTCAGCACTGCAGCAGGATCTTGCCCAGTTATGTTTGTTCAGTATTGCCCCTTGGGTGAGAAGAGAGCCTCTGGCACCTCATGTCCTCGTCTTGACGCTTTCATGTGTGCTATGTAGGAAGTTGCTTATGGAATTAACAGTGGGTTCTTGTAACCTTCCTGCTCCAGAAGGAACGCACGTGAACGGTGGATGGGGTCTCCGAGCAGTTCTCTCTAGTGAAAAGTACCTTGTTTTCATACAGTGCTGGGATGTACCCGCTTGCCTATATCAACGCATAGTACCCACAGTCGCTCAGCTAGGAATACGTGTATCTGCCTTGAAACATAAAGTGGACAGTGCAGCCCTGTCGGCTTCATCTGTGCCAGCTTTTTTTGTTTTCCTTGCACCCTTTTTTCCATGAATTTTCTGGGGTCAACATGGGTGTTTCCTGCACAACATCAAGTCCTTGAGTTAAGTCACTTTTTCCTTTCCTGGTTCTTCCATCTGTGGCTCTGAGCTGACAGCAGCGAGTTTTAATTGCTGGGGGAAGGTCTAGAACAGGCAATGATAGGTGTGAAAAAAAGCTAAGGGGACCGTAGCTTCCTCCTTTTGTCAGTGTCTTGTTCTCTCAGTCGGATCCAGCGCAGTGCTGGCATCTCCCAGGCACGCTTGCTGCATGGTACTATGGTTTTGCTGGCTGCAGCCCTGCCATGGGGGTAACACACAGCATTTTCCATTCACCACAGGGCATCTGTCCTGGATGTCTTAATAAGCTTGTAACGAATTCTCTGTAAGAATCCATCGACTAAAGCAGTTGATTGCACTCCCTTTCTGTATCTAGATCTGGAACAGATTCCAGTAGCTGCAATAAGAGTCAATTGCATGTTTTATGTTCAGCAGCCCCATGAATTAAAGGGGAATGAGGTTGAATTAGTTAATGAATATTAGCAGTTCCCGTGCAGAGCCAAGAGTCAATAAATCTCTGTGAGATCTGACTCTTTTTCAGCCATGTTCTGCCAAAGTAATTAATAAATTGTTAAACATCAGCTGTGTTTACCAGTGCCTAGGCCTTTTGTTTGAGCCTCTCTCAAATTCAGGCTTCCCCTTTTCTTTTTGGAAACTTGTCTCAATGGGCCTGCCTTCATCCAGCCTCCTCATCCGTGATCGGGACAAACATTGGTTTCTGTGCGAGCAGTGTCTCTAGACAAATGTGTTTCTCAGTACCAGAATCCCTCTGCAGTCCTACATAAGCTGTTTTAGCCCTCACTCAAGTTCATAGAGGCCTGCTTTGAGTTGGCCTAGAGGGCTGATGTTTCAATTCTAGACAATTGGTTTGGAATTAACAGTTAATTTGATGAATGGCTATGTGGAGTGTTCATTGCTCCTGTTTAAGACTGTCAGCAGACTGAGGCACGTATTGCTGCCCTGTCTAGGTTCTGCTCTAATGCAGAGGTGGTTTCGGGGGCTTTCTGGGCTACCTGTGTTCTTGCTAATCAAAAGGAAGCAATTAAATGCAACTTTGTCAGGAAGCATTATTTTTTCATCTTAATCTGTAATTTGACTGTTATTGTTCGACTCCTACTTTTCCTGAAGTATCTAGCCATAGGCAGCTAGAGAGCAGATATCAGGGGTTGCCTTATTTCACAGGAAGAACCAGAGCAACGTCTTGGCTATGACGCTGTTTTCTCACTGAAGATTTGACTAATTGCAAGAAGTACTGGGCTGGGATTTGGGGGGGAAAAAAATGCAAATTCTGTTGTTGTTGTTGTTGTTTGTCCTGGGGCAGAGAACACCTCTGGTTGCTTGAGTTTATTTCGCTTACTGAATTCCCTGCCTCTGGCTGTTTGCTAGCATTAGGACTACCCTCCATCTCTCCCTCGCATCCAGTAAGTTAGAGGGCAGAGTGCACTGCGGGACCTCTGTGTATCTAAGGCTTTGTTCAGCCCTGCCAGTGTCTCCAGAGTCCTGGTGAGAATCATGGAGCTCCTGCAATGTCTCGGAGAGCCAGGCGCTGCAAGGGGCTGCATCCAAGGGGACGAGTGGGTGGGCTGTCATTGGAGTGCTTGGTTTGGGGTCTTTGTGTACAAGATGAGTTACAAGGAAGTTACAACCTACATGTGCAAGAGCTCGTGTTCCAGATAGACACTTTCTCCACCCCCTGGCTCCCTTCTACCCATTCTGTCACCTCTTCTGGCAGGTGCCCATTACTACGTTGTAGGGCTCTGAAGATGTCAAACAGCAACACGACACAGGAGTCTTTGGAAATAATGAAGGAGTCTGAAAAAAAGGTGGTTGAGGAATCTGTGAACAAAACCAAATATGTATCCAGGTCACCAAGCAAGGAGGAAGTGGAGAAGGATGCAGGGGAGGAGGTCAGCGTGCGCCAGGAAGCTCAGGTAAGTGTGCAGACAAGTGGGTAGTCCCTTTGGGCAGCTTGTGGAGCTGGGCCCTCTCCTTCCACTTGGCAACACAAGCTAGTTGCTATCCCTTCCGAAAGGTGCCTAAGCCTGTACTTCCACCTCCCGAGGGGGTACTATGCAGTACAGACTGTGTTGTTCACAGGCTGCTCTCTTTCTCTTTGGCTGAATCTGTTCTGCTTAGAGTGGAATAATTTAAATATTCTTTGAGCCTGGGAGAAAATGAGGCTGGTGTGCTCCTGGGGGCAGGTGTGCACAGTCCCCAGGTTCTAGTCCCATGGCTGTTACCTGCCTTAGTCCTTTCTTTGACCTAAGGATCGCTTAATGTGAAGTCATCCCAGAGGGGTTTCAGGAATGGTGCTTGGCCATTGCTTTGCTGCTATTAAAAATGCCCAAATAGGAAATGAATGTTTTGGGATTTCATTTCAGCAAGGGGGGGGAAATAATCTGTGCAAGCATCATTTGGGGGGGTACTGGGACTTATTCCTGATGGTCTGCTGTTCTGTCACACGTGTTTTTGGCTTAGTGTTGAGCTTGAAGAAATGTCCCCCAAAAAAACCTGCTGAATACTTCTGCGTTTAAAGCTGGTGGCTGGCACCAGATTTGTTCAACCACTGCATGGGCAGACACCAGCATTGCTCAGAAAGAGCCTGACTTTGGCCACTTCATAGTGTGGAATGGGGAAAGATTTCATAAAAAGTAGGGATAATAGATGACTCAGTGTCTCTTAAATCAGAGCAGCAGTGTGTGTCTCATGATCCACTGTGTTAGAACCCCCTTAGTGTCCCAGGAATGGTAGAAGACTTCTAGTTTTCCCACTTAGAAGTGTGTCATGCACCTCCACCTGTATGCCCTGCGATCCCATGGTTGTGCTGGTTCTGTCAGAAACAGAGGAGCTGAGTCTAATCCATGTGAAGTTTCTCAAGCCATTTTTGCCCACCTGGGGCCTGACAGGACAGATCTCCAGGTCTTCCCATTTGTGCATGCTTCCATTGCTGTCAGGTAGAGATTTTTTTCAGAGTCATTTTAGACACTCGGTGTTGTGCTGCCTTGCACAGTAAATACCATTTACAGTGTATGCATTCAGATTAAGCTTCTTACCTTCTCTTTCCTTTCTTCACAGAGGCGAACTTCAAGTCATGGACATGCCAGAAAAAGAGCCAAGGTACAGCCTCTTCTGACATCCCATTCTTCTTTTGGCCATTCAGAACTGAGTTGTTAGCCCAACCGTAGGATCGTACTCTCAAGTCTTTACTGTCTCCAGAAGCAACGTGCAGCAGCACATGGTGGTTCAGCACACGCTTACCCATGAAGGAACTGTTTGCTGCTATTAACTGCCGCACTTGTCCCCTCCCCAGAGCCCAAAACGCCAGAAATTAAATTCAGAGGTGTCACTGGAGGGACAGGGCAGTGCACTGGCCTGTTACACTCTCCGGTTAAAAACCTGAGTTGAGTATAACTGTCTGGTTGCACATAAGGTCTCTTTTCTTCAGGGAATATCACATTTCCTCCCATAATGATGGCACGTGCATGTTAGTTAATCCAAAACTTTTGCTATTAATAAGCACCAGGAGACACCACTGTTCTAGAACGTCGTTTGTAGGCAAAATCTTGGGGTAAAAATGCAGCCATTGTGTGATTTTTAATTTATTTTTTTTTTACCGTTCTTAGCCTTAACCCCAGTTTTTCTTTGCAAAATGTGATAATTACTAAAGCAGCTTATCAGAAGTGGCCGTGAACTTTCCAGACTTGGCAGTTATAGAAACACAGCATAATTTAGGAGTCCATCTAGTCCAGCTGGGATTCATTCCTATCAAAACAGGGTCAGCTGTGACAACTGACTAGGTTGTTCAGGGCTTAATTTTCAAACTGTGTTTGGAAGGACAAAGGTTTCTTCCCCCCCCCCGCTTTTTTTTTTTCTTTCATAAAAGTTCAAACCCAAATGAAGACAGGTTCTGCCCTGAGGCATGGGAGAGAGGGGAGACCAGTTAAATTTGTAACAGGAGTTCTACCTGGGGTTGTTCTTGATGAAAGTAATGTACGAAAGAGATGTGCTGCTTATGACCTACAGGGTGTTCAGAAAAAAATATTCTAATGGTTCTGTTTGGTCTTAAAAGCCAGGACTCTGTGCAGTACACAAACAGGCTGTGATTCCAGGTCCTGCCCTGTCCATACCTAGGGCAGAATGTGTCTGTGCACCTCAGCCTTTTCTCCATATTGTTGATCCTGCCTGGGATCTCATGTGACTGGTTGATAGATTTCTTTTTTTTTTTTTTTTTTTTCTATTTGTCACCCAAGTGAGTCAACTTGCCAAGAGTCCTGAAAGTGCAAGTTTTATTTTAAGCATTTTCTCTAAGCACTACTACATTACCCAAAATAACCAAAGTCATCAGGTCAGACAGACAAGGTGTAAATGGGATTACAGCCTTTTAATTAAGAACAGTAACAATCTTCACATCTTAAAACCCAATAAAATAGTTGGTTTCAGCTATATCCTTTGTTAGTGGTTTTAATTCTTGCCAGGTGAGGAGGGGAGAGGCTGGAATTGCTCTGGCTGAGAGCAAAGAGTGCGTGAATTAAGGCAGTGAACTTTCTTACCTAGATTTTGGTTGGTTCAAATCTTAATCAAAGCGTGAAGGAAGAAGATAACTGATTTGCTCTAGGACTCCAAGCCTTTGTATATTCCTGTTTGCTGCAAGTAGCTGGTTTGGTAGTCCTTCTTTTTAGCAGTTTAATTAACAATGACTGCATGACTGGCTTGGTAACACAGCAGCATGAACTTAAATGTGTGTGTTTTGGCTGAGGTGTCTTAACTATACTCTTTCTTTTCCTTCTCCAGTCTAATTCAAAGCTTAAATTGGTCAGGAGTTTGGCTGTATGTGAAGAATCATCTAGTCCCTTTATGGATGGGCTACTGGAGTCCCAGGTAGGCCTAGAATGAGACAAGCTGTGGAGCGTGGAAGCCCAGAAAATCCACATCTTGCTCGAAGTGGTGTCCTGTCCTGGGCTTCTGCCTCTGAGAGCCAAGAATTTCTCACAAGAGGCCGCTTTTGAAAGAAGCGGTTATGCCTGTGAGCACTGCTCACGTGTGTACAGTCACAACCCTTCTCTTACGAGGAATCATCTGCATCAACTCATTGGGCACCCACAACTACTCAAGTTGTGCGGGCTCATGCCCCTGGAAGTGGATGGGAATTCACCTTCACAAAGCCCCTGGGGTTTTGGCCATGGGAAGGAAGTTCTTATGCAAGCCCTCTCCTTGCACCTCAGACTGCAGTGACCGGAAACAGCCAGCTCACAGAGAAGTGATAGGCAGTGCTCTGCAGAGATGATCCCTATCTGTGGTCACTATGGGCAGTGACAGAGAAGCTGAAAGTGGGCAGCAGTCAGGGAGGTGCTGAGAACCTGTCTGCCCTGGCAAGAGCAGGGAGGTTGAGCTTTCTCTGTCCACACAAGCTTTAGAAGCATGGGATGCTGCAGTGTGCAGAGATCTGAGCTGTCTCACTGTAGATCAGGTTGGCCTCTAAGCCTTTCCACTCTTGAGGCTGCTAGCTCTAGAGGTTGCTCTCCTGTCTTTTGTTTGGGTTTCACTTAGAACTGTAGGGTCACTAGGAGGACTTTTAAAACAACCATAAGCACGCATCATGGTGCCACGGAACCGCACTAGCATAAAGGCAGAAGGGTGGGGGAAGATCAGGTGGCACAAAAGGTAATGGTTTTATAGTTGGTTTGAACTTGAATTTGAGAAGCGCATCATCTGACATTGCCTTTGACAATCCTACTGGTGTTTAACATTTCCTCCCATGGAGCAGTGAATTCTCAGGCCATGCTGGGCAATTGCAACTCGAGAGAGGAGGTGAAAAGAAACATCAGAAAGCCCCATGTGGCACAGGGACCACTCATCACACCACACACTTTTTGTTGTGTTTTCTTCTCGTGCCCTTTTTCTTTCCAGGTTAGACAGTAGAGTCTTACTGAAATGGTGCATGACTTACCTCACCTTAGGCACTCCTGAGTCCAAAATGTAATAGCATTCTATCAGCTTTGAGCAGGGAAGCACGTGACTTAGATTCTGAGGTGATCCAGGCGAGGCAGGTTTTCAACAGTGACAAATGCTGTTGTGAGTCCCCCCGGAGCCTGCCAAAGGCTTCTCATTGGGAGGAGGGTGGGGAGAGAGACTGCTTCGCTCTCAGAATGGGGCCTCTTATGAAACGTCTCAGATCCGCGGCCTGAATGCCTTGCCTTTCTGTGATGCCTTTCTCAGCCACCAACATCTCCAGCCATGGCAGGGGTTCCAGGGACTGTCCAAGTGACTGAGACCAGCCTGGTTTGTTTTGTTCCAGGACATCATTCAGTTGCACGTTAGCTGCCCCTCTGACAAGGAAGAAGAAAAGTCCATGAAAGATGGGGCTGAGAAAGAAGAAAAAGACAAGAATAAAGAAAAGGCACCAAGGAAAATGCTGTCTCGAGGTCAGGTGCTCATTTGAACAGGGCAGATCCTGTCTTACCCGCTTTGAGGATTCTGCTGGCCAGTGGTACAGTTGGAAGCAGAGCAGTTATCTCTGCCAATGACTGTACAGGAATGTATGATTTTTATAACAGCTGGAGCAAACCATGGGGAGGGAAGGGTTTCTCTAGATTGGGATGTGCCCCAACAGACTTGCAGAGTCTGTTCCTGCATAGTTTATAGTGATCTGGTGGCTTCTTAAATGTGCAGATGCAAACCCAAGAAGACCCACTGTAAAGACTTTTGCTTTCAGTTTAGATTTGATTTCATAAAACCTGCCACAGGTGGCAAGATGTGAGGTTGCAAGAAGGTGAGCTAAGTTTCTGTTGTATGATCCTGCGTGTATGATTTTGGGGCACAGAAATGGCTAAAAGATACACGTTTAATCTGGTGAGCAGATTGCACTTGAAATCCTTCTACAGACAGCAACTCGGTGCTGGTGCAGATTCAGTTTCACTTATTGTTTTTTCTTTGATTGCTTTTAAATTAGAAAGGGTGCGGGGAGAGGGGAAGAACATGTCCAGTGGGGCTTTCCAGCTAAATAGCCTGTGGGATCAAAGGTGCAGAAGTTGCTTGTACAAAAGTATGGTATACTGCACTTGCAGGGGCCTCCTGTAACAGCATGGAATATCCTGAGTGGTTGGTTTTAGAGGCAAGGTTTCCTTCCATGAGCTGATCTGATATCCCTCTCTCTAGCATCCTCCTAATGGGCCTTGTGCTCATTGTGCCTTGTTGGTAACATACTGACAGTCCTGCTGCCCTCAGGGGAAAGGGTGCACAGTCCCTGTTTTACAGATTGAGAGCGTAGTGAGACACACACCTCTTCCCTTCAGTCTATTCTATTGCAGTGTTTTGTTAATTTGTTCTGCTGCTGTTGTTGTTTCAGATTCCAGCCAGGAATATACAGACTCCACTGGAATAGATTTGCATGAATTTTTAGTAAATACACTGAAAAAAAACCCACGGTAGGTCCCTAGTCAGTAAAACATCTTGCTGATGGAGTGAAGGGAGGGAGTACCTGGCGACCGATGCTTCTTTGATTGACTCTTAAACCCATGGTGTTTGTGTGCATGTGTATATATGTATGTATGTATTCACATATCCTGGGAGGAGGGGGGGACTACAGCAACTACAGAAAGTACCTGAAAGTGTGTTTTACTTTTTGGAATTCAGAGAATGTTACTAGAACTGGGGCCGTGTAGAAACAAAAAGCACAACTGTAATCTTATATGCTGCAGTCAATCAAAACATGTAATTGTGTATTACAAAGAGAGAGAAAGAGGAAAAATAATTTGTTTGAATGCAAGCAGGAAGGAATCTTGATTGCTTTAAAACCCTTTCTATAAACGATTGTCAAATATCAACCTCTAAAGGAACTGCTGCTGTGTCAGTAATAAATGTAATCAAGCCAAATGCTGGCATAGGAATAGCAAAGCTGGAGTCTCTACCAGTGGAGCTTCCAGCAGAGCAGAGATTCGATATTACCAAAAGCCAAGCATTGTTAGCAAAACAACAACTTTAAACTGAAAAAAAAAATTTAAAAAATCTGGCAATTAATTTACTATATATGAAAAAAATGTGGAGTTTTTTAGTTCATTCCTGTGGAGGATATGTGAAGCCTGGTTAATAGTGTTGCTTGCTTCAGGTATTTGTGACTTTTCTCTGTTTCAGGGAGGGAGGTACCAAGCAGAGAAAGTTGTGTTTCGCTGTCTCTAAAGGTGGCCTTTTTCTTTTCTTGACAGGGATAGAATGATGCTACTAAAGTTAGAACAGGAGATTCTGGAATTTATTAGTGATAACAAGTAAGTGATCATCAAGTTTATGTCAAGCAAGAGAGGTTTGTAACTTACCATTTAGGACCTTGTGCACCCAGGGAAGAAGGGGAGTGTCTTTTGGACACGCTGATTAGGAGCCTCTTCTCTTGTACATCCTCCATCTCCTTTTGTCATACACAAGGTTTCTGAGTATCGTATTGATTTGGTATCGATTCACACCAGATCCACTGTGAAGGAGATTAGTGCCATTGTGCTTCTCTTCCTAGCGTAAATTGGCTGTGGAGAAACTAGGAGCAGGATTCACGTCCCAGAACGTGAGATAGAATAGGTGTCTGCAGCAGAGCTTGCAAACTTCTTTGTCTAATAGGATCGGAGAAGTCGCAGCACAAGTACTAATTCTGGCTCCTGTTCCTGCTTAGAATCAAACGTGCATTTCTGCACAAGCTGGTCTTGTTTCAGGAAAGGCCTGTTCAACTTGAGCCCTTGACTCAGCCCAGCTCTGGCAAAGCAATGTAAGCCCATGCTAATGTTCTGCATGAGGAGCAACGTTTGAATCGTGACTAACTGCTTGGAGTAGGTGGCATGGTCTGCACTGGGATCTGGTTAAAGCATCTCTGGCCTTGATCACAGACTGGTTGGGGTTGGAAGGGACCTCTGCAGATCATCTAGTCCAACCCCCCTGCCAAAGCATGATCACCTAGAGCAGGTTGCACAGGATCACGTCCAGGCGGGTTTTGAATATCTCCGGATATTCCAGAAGATCTCTCTTTTGGTGTCAGATTATCATTGTCTGTTTCAAGGCCTTCTAAATTCTAATGTTTTCTCCCCTCTTCTTAGCAATCAGTTTAAGAAGTTCCCTCAGATGACCTCATACCATAGGATGCTGCTGCACCGCGTAGCTGCCTACTTCGGCATGGACCATAACGTTGACCAAACCGGGAAGGCGGTCATTATCAACAAGACCAGTAACACACGAATGTAAGAGGGAGGGAGGGAGAACAATTGGGCTGGCATCTCCTTCCCTTCCTTGCACAGTGCTACGTGACCCCAGACACAGAGCCCTGGCATGGTCCAGAGCAGGATGGATTCCACACCACATTTTTTTTGCCTCCATAAGAAGGGCAGGTCCCCTCTCTAGAAGAGATGAATCCTTTTCTTCCTGTCCTAAGTGTATGTACTTGCAAGCCCTTCCTAGCTCCCTTTTTGTCTTGGAGAAGGGGCAGGAGCTCTAGTTGCCCTCAGACAGAGGAGAGATTTAACGCAACAAACATCTTTGCACATGCCCTCGCTCCCTGCAAAGCAGTGGGTTTATGAAGACAGTTCTATGCCCATTTCTGCCCTTCTAACAAAGGCTGGTTCTTCCCGCAGCCCTGAGCAGAGGTTCTCTGAGCACATCAAAGATGAGAAGAATGCAGAGTTCCCGCAGAGGTTTATCCTAAAACGAGACGATACCAGCATGGACCGAGATGATAATCAGGTAAGAGATGGCAATGGGGTATCTGCATACTTTGTGAAAGTCAAATGCAACTTTTCTAAGATGAGAACAACTCGAAATTTCTCTTGCGTTTCCTGCAGCAACCTTCTTTAATAGAAGCTTCCACCCCACCCAAGCAGCAGCATCTAGATAAATCATGAAAACTGTACAAAATACTGTGGAAATGCATGAAGAATTTGTGTGGGTTCTATGGGGGGTACTTTTCTGTACCCTGAATACTGACTGGTGGCTAGGCCAGGCTTTAAGTTGAAGCCTTTTGCTAAGGTTTCCTTGGAAATGCCCCAGAGCTGAGTGTTGCCAAGCATTTCTCCCACCCCTCCACGGGGCTTGCGGCGAGTCAAATGGTGAAGTCATCAGGACCTCACAGTGCTGCTGGAAGGAAACCATCGGCAAAATTAAACACTTTGAGCTCAGCAGCATTGCCAGTCATGGGAGCTAAAAACCCTCCTGAATCTCTGGCTGCCTTTGAGCTGTCATAAATGGCACTGCACCCATAACGCAGCGCTAGCTTGTTCATCTGTCGCTGTTTTCCCAGCCTGTGTCAGACAGAATCTTGAGTGTCAAAAACGGGGCAAGAGACAGGAGACCTCTTCACCAGGGATCTCATGCTTTTTGCTCTTGTAGCTCCCATCTTTCTATCGCCCCAACATACCGCTGTCCCTTGCTTTGGGTCATGTTTCTGAACTTAAGTTGTCAGGATGGGAAGCTGGTCATTGCAATCAGTATCAGTTTCTGGTTTCCCCGTGGTGGCACTCTGCAGGTGATTCAGCTACCCACAAAGCACAGAATCTATGACTGAGCAGGAGTTTGCTGTGTTGACATATGCTCCAAAGAGTGGCCTTTAGCTTTTGACCCCTGGGAACAGACTGTCTTCCAGAAGCACATGGTGATATTCCTGATTTGTCCTTTCCAAATCAAGCAGAGTTCAGGCAGAGTAGTTGTGCTTGATCCAGGAGGTGGAGCGCACTAAGACCTCCAGGATGTTCATCTCTAGACCTAGGTATCCAGAAGGTAGGTTCAAAGGCAGAGGCTGTGTCATTGCATCCAGGCATTTTGCGCACACACCATAATCCACATCCACTTACACCGCTACGTAAAAATATCAGCAGCTGACTGCGCCCACTGCTCCCATTGGCAACTGCTGACCCGCTGAGATGTGTTTGTCCCTTCAGATCAGACTCCCCTTGCAGGATGGGAGGAGGAGCAAATCTATAGAAGAGCGAGAGGAAGAGTATCAGCGGGTCAGGGAGCGGATATTTGCACGAGAGGTAAGCTTGGATGACTCCCTTGCCAGGTACCCTCCTGGAACTTTGTGGCAGAAGGTGTCCTTGAGTATCCTAAGAAGTCAGATCTCGTCATTGCCTTTTCTACAGATTTCCTAGTGTTCGTGGTATCTACCATTGAATTCCAGCTCCTCACAAAGATGTCTAAGACATTGAGATAAAGGAGCCACACCTCCACTCCCCACTCTGCTCGCTCCCTAAATTGCCTGTTTCAGGGGGCAATAGACATGTGGGGACTGACAGAGGAGGCAGGTTTGCTCCTTGCTGCCCAGCAAGATTATAAGCTTATGCAGTGGTGGTTCTGGGATGACTAGCAAATCAATTGATCAACCTGAAAGGAGCAGCAGCTGCCTCCCCCAGCTTCTCTCCAGTGCTGCAGCTTTGACCTCCTGACCAAGCAGTGCTGGCCTTGGAGTATCAGGCTCTGTGCCTTACAGGATGAATCTGGGCAGTACGTTTAGTGTCTTATGAAATGTCCAGCTTGGTTATTGCTTCCTTGAGATCTCTGGTCCCTACGTGGAACTACTCTAAGCCAGAGCTGTGTTCCTTGCTCATGTCTGGCTCAGAGAGGCTGCTGTGCTCTGCTGTTTGAGTACTGTCTGCCAGCTGGAGGCAGCTCTCCACGCTGTGCCAAGTGGCAAATGATGGAATCAGGGACAATTCCAAGTGGCCATCTGCCGTGGATCGTGTTCAAAGTCCAGCTCCTTGCCTGCTGCTTTTAAGCATCTTGGGGACAACGCCTTTCATTTGTCCTAATGGGAATTGCCGTGTGCCTGCCCAAGGAGGATGTGAAGGCAGCCGCTGTGCTGAGTCCCTAGTGAAGTCTCCAGGCTTCAGCTGATGACTCTCCAGCCAGTTGTGATCATGGATGTGCCTTACCTGCACAGGCCCAAAGCCATCCAGACGCGTTAGCAAGCAGCTCTGCCTATAGCCCTGGACTAGAGCAGGTGCTGTCCCATGTTAGCACAACACTGGGTGGGCAGGTACTTACCCTTGCTCTGCGTTCATGGGCTGAGCCAGTGCATTGCATCTGACTTCCAGAGGTAGGGGTAACTATTGTGGGCTGGGCTGGCTTTGAGCCCTCTGCCTTTTTTTCATGGCTCTGATAATTGTGCCTGCATTTAGCAAGTGAGGACCCTTGTATGTCTGGCCTTGATTGTTCCATTCTACCATCAAAGCTGTCTTAGAGCAATGAAGTAGGGAGTCAAGGACTCAGATTTGCAAACTCTTTGAGATATCTCAGGGTCGCGGGTATCAGGAAAGGTTCCTGATGGGCCTGGATGGAGAGCCAAATGGGACTGGTGTGCAGAAGGCTCAGCAAGACTCCTGAGTGACCACGTAACTTGTGCACAACACAAACTGTGTCTGAGTCCCATACTGGTAATGCTTTGCTCCTCTTTGCTTTGAAACTGCCTGGGTTTGTTGTTTTCAAAGTTACTAAGTCTCCCTTTTCTTTCCTTCCCATCTCCATGTCTTTCCCGTGCTTCCAGACTGGCCAGAATGGGTATCTCACCGACAGCAGGTTAGTACTGTTTAGCAGACGCTATTTGTATCTCTGGCTTTCTCTACGGAGGACCACATGACTTGATAATGATGCTTTTTTCTGATGTTAACCGACAGAATCTCCAAAGAAGGCTTTTCTTCTAGTTCTCACAAACGGAGGCAGATTTTTAGGTATCTCTGTGTGACTTATTTTGTACATTGTCCTGCTGAGTAAGTTTGCCCCATGCATGGCTGCTTGTGAAGTTTATTGAAGTTGTATTTTTTGCAACATCAATTTCTGAGTCCTTTTTTGCTGATCCATCAATTAAAATGGAGGGGTGGAAGGTGGGAATGGGGAAGCCAGAGGATTCCAGCATTTTTCAAACCATGCCACCTCTTGTTTCCCAAAAGGATAGGAAAGCCCTGCCCTTACAGTGACAGGATCAGCAGCCAGATGAGGTGGGGTTCTCCCTAATCCCTGATTATAAAGGTTGGATTACTTAATGGTGGCAATGAAGGGTCTCAGGCTTCCATTTCAACCAGAGTATGCTACGCAGGGCACTGGGAACGTGTTTGAGCAGCATTTTCTTGTTAAGTAGTTTTCCTGTGGATAAAAGGGCTGGAAGGATGGAGTTAGCCTGACGAGTCACCTTGCACAGACCCCTGCTGCGGGAGGCTGCTGAAGGTATGAGGATAAAGAACAGGATGAAAATGGAGAGACCCTCATGCCTACTGTCTTCTCATTTAATAGCCAAAGCTCTAGAGATGAAGCATCTCTGTGTTATGAACAGGACAGGAGGATCTAAGTGAGTGTAGGAACAGCTTTGCCCCTCTCCTCAGTCTGTCACAGGGCTCAGACTGTCCTTGGAGGGACACTGTCATGGAAAATCAAGTGTCCTCAGCACAGTTACACAGACTGTGTCCTGGAGTCTGCCTGTGGCAGTGGTGGTCAGGGCAAGGGGTGTAGTTTTCAGATCAGCCATGGGGCTGTACTAAAACTCACAGAATCCCAGACTGGTTGGGGTTGGAAGGGGACCTCTGGAGATCATCTAGTCCAACCCTCCTGCTAAAGCAGGATCACCTAGAGCAGGTTGCACAGGATTGCGTCCCGGTGGGTTTTGAATATCTCTAGAGAAGGAGACTCCACAACCTCTCTGGGCAGCCTGTCCCAGTGCTCGGTCACCCTCAGAGTGAGGAAGTTTGTTCTCATGTTGAGATGGAACTTCCTGTGTTCCAGTTTGTGCCCATTGCCCCTTGTCCTGTCGCTGGGCACCACTGAAAAGAGTCTGGCCCCTTCTAGACACCCGCCCTCTAGATATTTATAAGTATTGATGAGATCCCCTCTCAGTCTTCTCCAGGCTAAACTCACCCAGCAAGTGGCAAAAACCATTGCTGATGTGACTGCAGCCTTAGGAGCTCAGCTGCAGCCAGGGCTATGCTAGGAGCTTTTCTGTATGTTGTGCCCAGTCCCTAATGAGCTGGGCTAACCTGCTGTCTTTGTTTTGTGGCTCCCATGGTGGGGAGAGGGAGGATATGTGTGCCTCAGGACCATTTTGAGCTGTGGACAAAGATAGACAAGCTCTTGAGGAGATTGAGGTTCCTTCAGTGGTGGTGCTGGAGATGTCTGTGTGAACTCCAGAGACTGCCCTCAAAGCCCGGCATACAGAGCAGTACAGCTGTCCGTTTTGCTCGCTTACAAGCGAGCAAGTATTAATGCTGCTGAAGCACAGATCTGATTGCAGAGAGCTCTCTACTGGTGAACACACTTGGAAACAGGCTGTAGTAAGGCTAATGAAGAAAAAGGCATGGCTGAAGCTGCTAGGACAGTGTGGTAGTGTGCCTAGAGTTTGAAGAGCATTCATAGAAAAAGCAGAACCGTTATGCTGCTGGGTTAGCAATAACCAGCTTGAGAGGGATCTGGATTCTTAGGGAACCATAGTTTGCAGCTGAGTCAGAACAAAAGCCATGACATGCCCCTTCCCTGCACACACAAACACTGCCCCCACCTTTCTGAACTTCCCCAGGAGCAGCCTTCAGAGTTTAGGCTGGAGAGAGCTCAAGAGCTTGACAGTGTTGCTTGTTAGGTCAACTGTAATTTGGGGGTTGAAGCTGTGCAGTCCAATTCCGTCACCTCTTTAGGGATATAACCATTGTACTGGTTTCTAAGAGACATGTTTTCTTTGGCTCTTGCTTGCTCCCAGCAGCCCAGGACATCACCTCAGAAGTCCCTCCAAGCCTATCTTTTCCCCTCCGCAACTGTGTGGAGCTGCTGCCGGGCTCAGCCCTGCAGCGTTACATGAGCATCTCTTCCAGTGTTGTCTTCCTCACCGTTCCTCCCCAGTGAAGGCCCAGGAACTCATTACTGTGGTTATGGTCCTTGGTTGGGCTGATGAACCAAGCTCACTGGGATGTTTTGCTGATACCCCGTAAAGTCCTGCAGTGGCCAGACTTCGCCTGGGGCTAAGGGAGGGTGATGAGCGGGAGCACAGCTTGGAGCATAGCAGTATTCCAGCATGTAGTGGTTCCAGCTGGGCAGAAAGCCTTACCAGGGCTGGTGTGGAAAGCGGTCTTGCAAGATCTTGATCAGCCTTGTCTCAAGGCCTCTGTTCTGAGACAAGGAGGGCTTTAGCAAGGGATCATGCTCTGACCCTGCTGGCATCTCTTCCAGGCTGGGATCTGGCTAGGGAAAAGGGCCAGGAGCCAGCTCTCAATACACACCAAGGAAGATCAGCAGTGACTGGGTCTTCACAGTGCATTCCTGAGAAAGCTGTGGCCTGGGGGGTTTGCTGCCAGATCCCTATACAAAGTGCTGATGTGCCTTGTCACAGAACCAGCTGCTGACTGGGCTCACCATCCCGGTGTGGCAGCACTGATGCAGACCCTGCAGGTCCTGCTGCAGCCCCTTTCTGCTGGAGGTGCGGTCTAACTCCTCCGGTCTCTACAGGGGCAACCGGGACAGTTTGAACCGGGCCTCGGGCAGCCACCAGAGCAGCACAGAGAGTGAGATAAAGTCACTGGAGCCTCGGCCATGGAGCAGCACAGACTCAGACGGCTCCATCCGCAACCTGCGACCGCCTGTTACCAAAGCCAGCAGCTTCAGTGGCATCTCCATCCTGACGCGGGGGGACAGCATCGGGAGTAGCAAAGGCAGCGCTGCCAGCAGGACGTCCCGAGCAGGTACTGCAGTGTTTCCCCTGCACACCTTCTGCCAAAGGACACCGAGCAGACAGGCTTTGGGCGGGGGGACTGGGGCTCCTCTGGTCAGTGACTCTGGTTAAAATGGGATATGGTTGGCAACATCTGAATGTGTTCAGTACCTGGGCAGGGATGTGGCAATTGGTTCATCATCTGCTTTTTCAATACTCGCCATCAGATCTTCCTTCCCTTTAACAGAGTTATCTAAGACAAAGGATGTTTTTTAGTCCCATACCCTGGAACACAAGCTACCAGTTTTCAGTTGTTTTCTCTCCCCTGCTGTGCTGCAAGTTACGTTGCCATTCCTTTCTGCTCCCCAGAATTCCTCACAGCCCTAAGGAGACTTAGTCGGGGTGAACCATCTGGCACTTTTCCTTGCTTTCCAACAAAGGAGGTCCAGGGAAGGGTGTCACCAATTAGTCTATCTCATCAGATACACAGTCTATCTCATTAGACAAAGACTGTGTTAATTGGTATTTGGCTACGATGTTCTCTCAGAATGATTCACTATACTCCTGAGAGCAAACGTAACAGCAGGGAGCTGGGCCTGCAGCTCTTCAAGAGGTGTTGAATACAGCTCAAGATTTCAGGAGCACCAAAGGGAATTAGGATCGCAAGTCTCTTTGCCTGCTTCAGATCAGTTCTTCCTTTTCCATCTAGGTAACACAAAGGGTAGCCCTTGCATGGAGAATGTTATTGTGGGGCATCGCTGGTAATCTGTTACTGACAGCGGCTTCCTGAGAAGATGTGCTGCACTTGGCAGGGCACCAGCCCTTCTATCAGTGGGGAGCAGAGGCCTTTATTTTCAACTGACTGCTTGTGAAAGGCATTTGTGGAAGAGGCAGCACAGGTCTTTGCTCTCATTTAATGGGCCAGTGATAACTGAGGAGCCATACGGGAGCTGGTTACAATTGCTGCACAGTGTTGTCTCACTGTGTAGCTTCCTCCGTTCTCACTGGTAGGCAACAGGACCCTAGATGCTTGAGAGCTGTTGTTTTACTGGGGAGAGGAGGCAGATTTGTGCTTGTGGGTGACTAGACAGCTCCAGAAGAATCCTTTCAAATAAAAGGGATGGATCTAAAAGGCAGCCAGGCTGCTGTTCTAGCACCCAGGATGGCTTTGAAAACCACACATTCATCTTGCAGTTTGAAGGTACCTACCTCATCTCTTGGGACCCCGTTTCCATTGTGCTCAGGGCTGCGCTTATTCTGATTATTGCAACCACCTCCAGGACTGATTCATCAGCTGATGGGAGCAGTTATTTGAAGATCTGTCCCAGCTGTGTGCAAAAGCAGAGCAAGAGAGGATCTGCTTTTTTGCTCTTTCTGTACTTTCCCTCCAGGTCTCCCCTGGGAGCAGAAGCCAATTGCTCTCCAGCTTGATATAATGGCAAGTGATTAGAAATGTCTTGGGGAGGGGGGGAATTAAAAAAGCAAAGGAATTTTCACTTGGCTGGGGGGAACTACCACCCTCCATATCCTCTTGTTTATTATGTGGGGGAAGAAGCGCTTAGGACTCTGCGGCTCTTCTCCCATCTCAGTATTCAGGCCCTGGGCAACTGTCAGCAAAGTATTTCCTTCTTTGCACCATGTGGTTCCTTAGCAGAATGCCTAAAGATTAGCTGTTGAAATGCGGTAGAACAGAGGCAGAATTAGTTAAATAGCAGCTACTGGGCATCAAGCAATAGTTTCACAGCCCTTTTATTTCTGGAAGTAGGGCTGAAATACTGAGGAGAGTACTTCCCAGCTGGGTGCCCTGCAGCACGTATTGCACTGCTTCCTAACGATTTTTCCTACCATGGGAAGGATTTGCTTTCAGCCTGCCACCCCCTAGCCTTTTACTCAAAAGATGTGTGTGTGCTAGGTCTATGTGGCCATGAAATAGGATTCCCTCACTCCCCTCTGGGCAAGCACTCAAACAGATCACGATGACGTATTAGTGTCCGAGCAGGGGCTGTAGCTGCAGAACTGAGCTGTGACTGGGAACAGGTCTCCAGCTTCTTTCCACAGGCTGGTTTATGATACTGAGCTGACAGGAGTGTGTCTGGCAGCTCCTTCTTTTTGTAATCTCTGCCTCATGCTGGGGTGGAGAGGCCTCCACCGGGAAGGTTCTGCTGTTAACAGACAGATTTGTCTTCCCAGCAGAACACCCATGGCATTTATAGAATGGTGATTTCCAGACAAGACAGAGGGCACATCCCTCCAAAGAATATTTGCAACACGGACATGTTTTTACTACGCTGTGCCAATCCTGCCAGCACCTGCACCAAGCACGTGCTGCCCTGTGGGCAGAGGCCAGCTAGATTCATCATCTGAGCCTGGCATTGGCCTTTTAATTTCCTGCAGTTCTGAATAGTGTTGAAGGTTTACACAAACAGCAACTACCTGAGAGCTGTGGGTGGGGACCGGTGTGTAGGCTGTCACTTGGAGTGAGGGTGCTAGGTTGGGGTCAGGGAAGAGAGCATGCTCTTGGGAGTAACAGCTGTACAACTCATGGCCATAGTCTGGAACAAGAATTGCATCCTGGTCTTCCCTGTGTGGGGCAGGGCATGTATGGGTCAGGGGGAGGAGAAGATGCTGTGACCAGCTGTTGGAGGGTCAGTGTGTGGACAGAGGAGAGGAGAGAGGTACAATCACTTGGAGTCCTGAGGGTGTCAGCACCTTGGTTTGCTGTGAAGCAGAGGCAAACTAGTGACTTAGCCTGCAGCCTCCTCACCTTGTCCCCCGTGGACGCTCCCATGTGGACAGCAGAGAATGTGATCTGGTAATGACAGAATCTACCCACCACCCTCCCCATCAAGGAATCAATGTTTTTCTCTCCCAGGTACCAACCCTGCCATGCCTTTCTCTGTTCAAGGTTTGGTACTAGGTGCCCCTGAAGCATGCAGCCAATCCCCTTCTTCACAGCCCAGCCGTGGCCTCCTACCCTGCACAGCCCAGCAGCCTCAGCCGCAGCCACCCCAACAGCCACCACCACAGCCCCAAGGACTTCCAGCTGCAGCCCAGCAGCAGCCAGCCATGAGTAACCACATGATGTCCCAGGTGAGTTCCTGTGCACTACCTAGGGCTTAGTAAGCTCCTTGGGCACCCAGGAGGGAGGTGGAAGCAGAGCTGGCATACACCCAGGCTGCTCTGGACTCACAGGTGCCCAGTGGGTTTTGGGTGTCCGCACACTTGCTACCTGTTGGGGAGCGACAGTCTCTCTGTGCTGTCAGCAGAGAGCAGGATAAGGTTGGGGGCCTTGGTGTGCCTGAATATGATGTTGTGCGACATCTCAACTTGCCGGCCACTTCTGTGTATGCTCAGGCCAGCAGCCCTTCTGGCAAGGGATCTATAGCCCTTTGCTGAGTGGTAGACTTGTGTTCTGGAACCAGTTGCCCTGCTGGTGAGGGACTGTCACAAACGGTAGTTGGGTTTCAGCTCCCCAATGCTGAAATCTCATGGCTGGTCATCTGATGTCCTGGGGAGAGGTAGACCTGGAACTGTGCCTGGGTATATTCTCCAGACCCTCCCCGAGTTAAACCCAAACGGTGTTCCACAGCCTGTAGGGCTATTTCTGAGGATGGAGCCCTCTGGAAAGCCCTCATGGCTGTCATTCCTACATACTTTTTCTGCTCCTGAGGTTGTAAGAAACCACAGCACAGTATCTGCCCCTGTGTCACTGCAGGATGGGGAAGGAGTGGGAGACAACCCTGGTGGGCACATTTGGAGACCAAAGCTGCCTCGTGTTCAGCGGGTGCAGAGCTGGGCAGTGGCGGGGGGGAAGTATCCTCAATACCTTCCTATCCTGCCTGATTCAGAGCAGTGTGTCAGTGCTGGACCTCAGCCTGCCTGTGAGTTTTATAGGGATCCGTTCCGGTGCATCGTCTCATACTTACAATGTCTCCTACAGCAAAGAACTGCAAGTTACACTGGAGGTTTTCAAGATGCAACTGGACAGGGAGGGTGCTAGATAATGTTGCCTAGGCTCCCTTTCCCGTTAAAGGTTGAACCAGATGATCTTCCGAGGTCCCTTGCAGCCTGGGCTGTTGTATGATTCTAAGTGTTTTCAATGGGCTGGGATGGGAGGAGGAAACAAGCCTCCTCAAACAGCTTTTACTGCAGATAACATGAACAGACATGCTGTATGTTGCTGTTTGTATGAGGATGAGGGAAGCTTGTAGTTCTTGGGCCCTGGATTGGCTCCAGGGTTGTGGATCTGTTCACAGAGGATACTGACACTCAAGGGAAACATCTCACTTCTACAGATGAGGTGTGTCCCTGAGGTAGCCAGGGTCCAGTGCTAAAGCGAACTGGAGTGTCTGGAGCTGTAGCATGGCATGGGACAGAGCACAGTGCCCTGGGTGGGAGGTTTGAACAGACAGCAGGCTTCCGGAGCTTGTGCAGGATCACTGTGTCTTGCTGGAGTTTTATTTTCTATCTTCTACTGTTTGGCTGTTCTAATTGTTTAGGTCCTGGAAAAACGCTTTTTCATGTGTTTGATTAGTAGTGAAAGGTCTGAAAATGCATTGTCCCCCATGCGCACACACCTTCTATTTCACTAAAGTTCAAATCATATGATCAAAAAAACAATCCAGTACTGACTGTTACAGGTTTGGTGCCCAAAGCACAGTATATGGTGCTTGAGTTAGATGTTGTCGTAAACAGGCATCAGCAGGTCCTCCCAATGCGAAAGTGAGAGGGGCCCCTACAGAAAGCCAGAGTAAAGAAAAGACTTTTACAGCAGGAAATGCCAAAAAGCACTGCAGAGAGAGCTGGGAGTCAGTGCCACACACGAGTGGGCAGTGAAGTGGGAGACACACAAATGTTGTGCGGGAGGGAAGTGGCTCTGCTGCTGCTGTTAGCCGTAGCTGGCCTTTGTGAACTTCTGTCACTGCTCATGCCAGCCAAGAGCTGCTTTGCGGACATGGTCAGCCTTCCCAGCTTCCACAAAGCAACTGACCGGGCTGTGTGTCTTCATAGAGAGATGAATGCTCCCCCGTTCTGGTCTCTGTGCTTTCCAACCCTCTGCAATGCCCCCTCTGTGTGTTTGCAATTGGCTCAGTTGACTAACCTTATTGTTCCTTCTTTCTCTCCTTCCTCCTATCCTTCCTTCCCTCCCCACTGCCCTTTTCCTACCCAAATCTCTCTCCTCTGCTCTGTTCTCTGCTGGTCTTAGCCGGTCCCAGCGCTGCAGCCTGTTCAGTATTCTCCAAGCTCCTGCCCCCAAGTCCTCTTGCCAGTCTCTCCACCCCAGCAGTACAACTTGGTATAAACCCCATTTTCTCTTCTGCACTGTCTCTGTTGTACTCATGCGCTGTGTTTGTGTTGTATGAGCTTTTGCTAATCAGGTATGTCACGGACGCTGCATCCAGTGGGTTTGGGATCCATGTAAGGCTCTGCTGTAGTGGGGTCAAGGCAGTGGGATGCCTGAGGCCATGGGACCCACCAGGGCCAGGCACCACTGGAGTGGAAAGAGCCTGGGGAAGAGCAAGTGCCAAGCCCAGACCTCCACCAGGAAGTGACACTTGTGCCCAGCACAGGGGTCCAGGGGCTATGGCTGCCCTGTGGTCTCAGTCAGCCACTGGGTTGTCTCTGCTGGGTCTTTTGGGAACAGTGCACCCCATGGGACATGGCCTCTGGCCTGGGGCCCCACCTGCCTGTGTGGGGCCCCTCATGTCACCAGTGTTTGCTGAGCATTCGGGCCCCCCCCAGCAGCTCGCATGTCCCTATGCCTTGTCCTGCAGAATGCTCTTGATCTGTGGCTCCTTTCTGGCGACCTGTCTTGGGTGAGCTCCTCCACACAGAATAGGGAGAAGGGGTCTGCAATCTACTCAGCAGAGCTACGTCCTACATGCTGTTGTCCTACATGTTGTCCTTCTCCATCCTTCCCGCTTATCCCCAATGCAGGCTGACGAACTCAGCAACCCCTTTGGGCAGATCAGCCTCAGCCGACAGGGCTCTACAGAAGCACCGGATCCTTCCTCAGCTATGTTCCAGTCATCCCTCATCTCCCAGCATCCTCAGCAGACGGGATTCATCATGGCAACCCCTGGGCAGCCCATTCCCACCTCCAACTACTCTGCCTCAGGGCACACGGCCCCCACACAGCAGGTGCTGCAGCCCCAGGGCTACATTCAACCTCCCCAGCAAGTAAGGACATGTGCAAGCCTGGAGGGGATGTGCACCAGCCCAAAGCTGTCAGGCAAGGGGTTGCTGGGGAGCAGTCCAGAGAACAGTTCCTTGAGAGTGGGAACTTTGCTGCTTTCTGTTTTCTGCTGCCCTCTCGTAAGGGATCAACACGCAGGGGTCCAGGCTCTGGGTTGGCACACAGCCTTGCTGGGCACAGGGTGATCTCTGTCCCATGTCCCTCTGAGCTCACAGGACACTTATCTGGGGACCCTTCTGACCATTCCTGGCTCATAGTGTTGGGGGAGGGACAGTGACCAGATTCAGGGCTGACACCTCTAAGCTCTCTCTGGGGTCCTGCAGGGCATTATGACCTCTAGGATTGTTCCCCTGAGCTGTGATGAGAATTTTGCCTACTGTGCTCTTGCACTACTGTGCTGGGAAAGGCTTGGATGTGGAGGCTGGGAGGAGCGGGAAGGGGCTGCAGTCCCTGAGGAGCTATCATCTGGCCAGAGCCAAAGCCCTGGTTGGTTTCCTTCGGCAGAAGCCAGGCCAGGTGAGAGAGAAAACTGGTCCCGGGGGACCAGCTTTCTTGGTCCCACTCCCTCTTGTGTTCTCATTATCATGTTTTCTTGATTCTGATAGATTCAGGTTTCTTACTACCCTCCTGGGCAGTACCCGAACTCCAGCCAGCAATACCGATCTCTCAGTCACCCAGTGGCCTACAGCTCCCAGCGCACTCAGCAGCTCTCCCAGCAGTCCCAGCAGCCTGGTAAGGAGGCGTAGAAGGGGGGAGGGAGGGGGCATGCTTCCCTTTCCTGCCACTCTTGTTGGCTCTTAAGGATCTCTCATGCACTGTCTGGGGCCAGGCTGCTCTTCCCTGTCTCCCACTCTCTGCTGGACTTGCTGACTGTAAAGTGCCTCTTGACTGTGCAAAGGAAAGTTGAAACTTGACCTGGCTGCAAAGGCTGTTTTAGTCTTTTCCCTCCTTCTCAACATGTAGCATGCGCTGAGGTGCTGTAAGGTGGATTTAAAGCCAGGAGCTTCCTTCAGGTCTTTTTACATCTGCTGTAAGGGAAACCCTTTTCCTGCTCTTTAGCAAGAGATGGGGGCAAAGCAGGATTTGAGCCCTCATATGCCAAGGCTCAGGCTGTCTTCTGTGGCCAGCTGGGAAGCCGCTCCATTTAAAGCCTGTTCTGACAGGTTTACAGCCAATGATGTCCAACCAGCAGCAAACATACCAAGGTGTAATGGGAGTGCAGCAGGCACAGCCCCCCGGGCTCCTCAACAGCCAGAGGAACAGCATGGGAGGCCAGATGCAGAGTATGATGGGAGTGCAGCAGGCACAGCCCCCTGGCCTTCTCAGCAGCCAGAGGAGTGGTATGGGGAGCCAGATGCAAGGCCTGGTGGTCCAGTACACTCCACTGCCTTCGTACCAGGTAGGCACCAGTTGTTCTCCCATAAGGGGCTGCTGGGGAGGGGGCCTCAGCTGTGAGGAGGAGGACTGAGTGCGGCTGGTCTCTTCATCATTATGTTCACAGAAGAGCTGGATTGGGCTGTCTTTGCCTGGGCAAGATTGCTCTGGGCTGCAGTAGACAACCATCTGGAATCTTTTCTCCCTTGCGTGGATCTCACTGGTGTTGCTTTGGGGCCAGTTCTCCCTGCTCCTGCTCTGTTACCTGTCATTCCACAGGGCTGCTTCTTTCCTTCCTGCGCAGGTTCCCGTGGCCAATGACTCCCAGAGTGTGGTCCAGCAGCCCTTCCAGCAGCCAGTGCTTGTGCCAGCCAGCCAGTCTGTTCAAGGGGGGCTTCAGGCTGGAGGGGTACCCATCTATTACAGCGTCATCCCAACTGCCCAGCAGAATGGCACCAGGTAAAGCTTCTGTACCTCGGGCCTGCTTTGGGAAGCAAGGGGTCCTGCTGCCCACTGAACGGACATAGCATCCTACTCCTGCAGCTAGGGGAGGTGGCTTGGCACCATAGATTCTGGGCAACTCTTGAGCTTGCCCAGTCCTAGCTCCCATAGTCAGTGTTTCCTGGACACAGCTGTCCTACAGCATGTGGTGCTTCTGTGCTCCTCCAGAGGCAGCTGAGAGAGCTGGTGGTTGCCTGCACAGATGGGCAGGCTGTTTCTCCCCATCCCCAGCACCTCACCAGAGCACTCTCTGCTTCACAGCCCTTCGGTGGGGTTCCTTCAGCCACCTGGCTCTGAGCAGTATCAGATGCCACAGTCCCCGTCACCCTGCAGCCCACCACAGATGCAGCAGCAGTATTCAGGTAAGAGGGGCCACTGGTCAGGGTTGGCACTGATCCTGCACAGATTGGATCAGGTTTTGTAGGGGCTGCAGTGAACAGAGCTGCCAATTCACAGCCAAGTCTAGCAGCTTCTGTGGAATGGGTTTCCTTAGTCTTACCCATCCCGCGGCCGATTGGGAATTACCAGGTCGTGGCACAGCAACTTTGCTCCAGGCTGATGCTGGCCTGTGCCTGGCATCTCCTTGCCATGGTGGGCAGGCAGGGTAGGAGCAGGTGGAGGGAGCTGCTGCGGGATGCGGACTCCCTCTGCTGGCAACGTGGCTGAGTGTCACCAGGGCAGCTCATGGGACTAGGGAACACACTGGATGAGGGGAGCATCAGGATTGCTGTATCCTGTCCTAGCTGCAGGGACATGGGCTGGGGCCTGATGAATTGGTGCAAGAGCTGGAACCAGGACACTTGGGCTCTGCGCCCAGCTCGGGGATTAGATCCTTTGCCTGAAGTTTTGCTGTGATGCTCAGAGAGGTCACCCGAGTTGCCTTCAACTTGTCCCCTTTGCTCACATTTATCCTGAATTAAAAGCAACCTGTGATATCAGAGAGGGATCCCGACCGGGTCTTGGTAGTGCCTTTTTTTCAGTCCACCTGGGCAGGCAGGGGGAGCAGAGGAAAGAGT